TTCATCAATAGTGACATTTTCATAAGGAATATATGCATCCTCTAATGTCTTTTCCCACATTTCAAACAATTCTCTTATGGGACTCAATTTGTATTCACTTTTCTTTTGCCTTCGTTTTGATGCATCATCAAACCTCAAAGCACTATTTATTTGTTTGAATCTATCCCTTGGCATGGCTTCATTGAATAATGTGCGTCCCCGCTTTTTGTTCCAAAGTTCATTGACAGCTTCATTTTTTGCTTTGTGTACTCCAGAAAGAATAAGCAATCCAATATAGCAAAAAAATTCTTTTTTATCTAACTCCTTCCAATTACTCATCTGTTTCTCTTCTCCTTCCTTATTCGTCCATTTCAAAATGTTTTCAACTATATTATCTCTAAAAAATAGATGAAATGAAGAAATAGGACTGTCTACATTTTTTCTAGCAAATCTTGTTGGACCGGGTTTCCCGTGAATTACATTCATCATACCACGCCTTCCACATTTGTTGTAAACTGGTTCATTTTGCCAGACTATGTTTCCACATTTAGATACAAATGTTTTGCTTTTTTCATTATCATTGCTTTCATCGGAAGAGCCTAGATCTGAATTAGAGCTGTCATTTTGTACATCTGAAAGTATTATTATATATTCATATTATTGTTATTTGATACATTTGAAAAATTGTATTTTTTATCAATCTTATCTTACTTGAACTCTGAAGTGTATATTTTATTTCATCATCATCGTCGGCGCTGTCTTCAACGAGAAAAGGTTCATTTCCTTTTTCGTCAGTAAATTCTACATCCGAATAATCAGTAATCTCTTCATGCTCACTAATACTCTCTTCGTCACTAGAATTATCAATTGTTTGGCTTGCTCTAAAGTAAATCTTTCAGAATACGCCATTTTAGCTGATTGTTTGAAAAAAAAGTGTTGAACTGCTTATTGCCAAAGATTTGAAAAGTTTGACATTAATTTTTTATAGTTGATGATAATACAATCGAATAAAAATAGTAACATAAAATTTAATTGTTCTCCATTACATTCATAAAGTTTTAAATATTTAAAAAAGTGTATTTAATTTGGGGGAAAAAATCAACCCCAATCGTCCTAGGTGCTATATGCATTCAAAACTGCCCTCTAGCGTTATTTTTTTATCAAATTTTAGTTTTAAAATAAGAGAAGAGATGATTTTAGGAAAAGTCATAAAAAGAGAGCCCAAGCTTTTGCGCAGTTTTCTTTTTTCATGCTTAGAAAGTAGCTCTGGGGTAGAAATCTACCCCAGCCGTCATCGCAGGGTTAAACACACATCTAAAAAAACAATTATTTAAAAAAATATATATGTTGGTTAATAAATTTACAAAAATTTTTCAGAAAAGTTTTTTTAATAATAATAATTAAAAATAGTAGTTAAAAAGTAGTATATATATATATATATATACATACATACATATATATATACATATATATTATCCTTTAAAGACAGAACTTTTCATAATTAACAAATTTTTCAGTTTATTTTTAAAAAGATGCAAAGAGTTACAATCTTTTATTTCTTGTGGAATCGTCTCCCATATTCCTGGGCCGGTGTGTTTCAAATTCATGCAAAGTACTTTAATTCTGGCTGGTGGAGCATAGAAGGTGACGTGTGGCGTGTAGTTCTTGCTTGAATGGATGTTCCAAGTGAAAAAGTCTAAAAAATGCCGGTAATTGCTCTTTTGGAGATGAATGTCAGGACTGTTTCCCCAAATTACGTTGCAGTAGATAAGGTGAGGAAAAATTAACGAATATTGCAGATCAGTTGTTGTAGGTTTATTTAATTTATTTCTAATTTTGCTTATAACACCAAGGGTTTTACATATTCTTTTAGACCAAGTATCTCTATGTGAATATCCCATTAAAGATTGTCCTTGATTGTTACTCCAAGGAATTTTGTGCTGGTTGAGAGAGGAATAGAAATATTGTTCATTTTTATGTCTAGGTCAGGTATAATATTTATTAAAATTTTTGGGCCAAAAATAATGTAACTACATTTGGAATAATTTACTATTAATTTATTTTTGATAAATCAGGTTGATATATTTTGAAAACTGTCATTGATACATTCTACATCTTTCAATGGGTCTTTAGTTGAGAATAAGATGTCAGTGTCATCTGCATATAGAAAGTGATTTGCATCAGTTGTATGTTGAAAATCATCCATCAAGATTATGAATAGAAGAGGACCCAAATTGATCCTTGTGGCACGCCTGATCTAACGTTAAGTTTTGTTGAGGAGTGACTTTTTATTGCCACATACTGATCTCTGTTCTCTAAATACCTGTTGAACCATGCACTCACTTTTCCTCTTATTCCATATGAATTTAATTTTTTAATCGGTATATTGTGGTTGATGACGTCAAAGGCCTTTGAGAGGTCTATGAATACACCTACAGTTAGTATTTTTTCATTAAGATTATTCATAACATTTTGTGCTAATTGCAGCACAGCTTGTTCAGTTGAATGCAGTGCTAAGCCATATTGATTATCATTTAATAATTTATTAATAGACAGAAATGAAGTGACTCTGACAAAAATAATTTTTTCTAGTACTTTGGAAAGTGGAGAAAGTAGAGATATTGGTCGGTAATTACTTGTCTCTAATTTGCTTCCCATTTTTGTGAATTGGAACTACTCTAGATGTTTTGAAGCATTGTGGAAATATTCCTTGGGCGATGGAAAGATTGTAAATATGAGTGATTGGGATGACAATTTCTGGAATAATTTGTTTAAGTAAATAGTTACTTAAAGTATCATCTGATATGCTTTTTTGTTGTTTAAGTTTTGAACAATGTACATTACTTCTTCTTCATTAGTGGAATTCATATACATTGATTTGCAGATTGCACTATTTATTTTTAATTTATCTTCAGTAACCATTTGATTTTCTAACGGCTTCTCTGTGACATTGATGAATTATTCATTGAAAAGATTACTTATTTCCTCTGGGCTTTCGATGATTTTGTCGTCAACTTTTAGCTTATTAATTTCATTAATGTTTTGTATTTTATTTATTATACCGTTATTTATTTCCCATTTTGTTTGGAGCAACTTTTTGCCTTTTCAAATTTTTGTTAAAAATAATTTTTTTCTGCTTTTCTCTTTACTGATGTAAATTAATTTTTAAACTTTTTATATTTTTCAACATTAGCGGTGTTTGGTTCAGCGACTGTTATTTTATACAGTCGATTCTGTTTTTTTGATAATTTTATTATTTCATCAGATACCCATGCTTTTTTATATTTTTGTTTCTGCCAGTGCAAAGGTGCGTGTGTGTCAAGAGTTTTACTAAGTATATTATAGAAATTCAGGCATGCTGTTTCTATATTCTCGTTTTTCACTGAATGCCAATTTTGAAGTGAAAGGGCTTTTTTAATAAAGAAAATGAATGTTTTATTAATTTTTCTACTTAAAATTTGGTCGTACATTGAAAGCAGTTTTAAAAATTTTCTTTGATTACATAAACTGGAAAATGGTCAAAAAAGTCTGAGACTTTCACATTTTCCATTTATCATCTTTTTCTAGATTTAATTAATGCATCTAGCTAGCTAGATCGCTGGTATTTTTTTGCAATTCTAATACCTTTGCTAGGGAAATTATATAAAGATAAATTGAATGCAATTAAAGCGAACCATTATTAAAATAATGAAAAGTTAAATAAATTAATATTGCAATTTAATTAGTATAAAATTTAAAAACGGAGAGATAGAAATAAAACATAAGTTAGTCGAATGTAAAGAATTATTGTTAAAAATGGACAAGTATGGAAAGCTTGTGGAAAATTACTAAAAATTTATTTATTAAATATGTTTAGATATATATATTATAAAATCACAGAAAATATTAACTATGCACTATCAAATAATGAAGTCAGCAACACCGTGACATTAGTCTTATGACGAATGGTCACATGGTCACCATTCACAGGTATCTCATTTTTAGGAGCCGACTCGTATATATATAATTGCAATAGAAGTTTCAATCCCCTAGATGACGACGCGTAAACAATTTTGTTCCTTTAAAAATGGCCGATATAAAGAAATGTAAACAACAACATCGTTATAAATAATTGATTACAATTGATGAATGTGATTTTTAGTGATGGTAATTTTGAAATAGTTGAGAAAAAAAACATTCTCAACACGTTTTCATTACAAAGCCTCATTATTTCTATTATTCCGATATTATTTCTAACCATTCCATATGAAGTGTAAACCTGAATTCTGAATGGGAGGTGGAGGGTCTAAGAAGAAAAGTATTTCGACAAAAAATATTTAATAACCATTTAATAAATTAATTTTTTAGATCTTTTTATTAAAATTAATTTATTAGTTCATTTTATTAAAAAAAAAGTATTTTTTTAATTATACATAAATTACTACAATCGATTTGATCGCATAAGAAGTGGGCTATGTGGCTATGTTAAACAGACCTGACATCTGCGTGCATCATCTGATATCGTTGAAATTTGAATTTATTTGGAATATCATTAAATTTATGTTTGAATAATAATTAATCACATTAATCACTCGATATATTAAATATTGATATTTTAATTAAACCGATATTAACAAACTTGTTTAACAACTTACATTTCAGAATCGGGAAACGAAAAAGGTTGCTGAATAATTTTTTAATAAATGCTAATTTAAACTAATTCATCTATATTTTAATAATAAAAAAACACATGCTGCATACGATCGTGAACATATCTAAGTTCACAACCTGCTTATACAAATAAAATCAAAATTTATTATATTCCCAAAATTTAAAAACTAAAATCGCAAACAACTGCACTTCACTGCACTGTTACAGTTAATATTTGTTTGGTTGGTTGGTTGGCTGATTGGTTGGATGGTTGGTTGGTTGATTGATTGAGTGTTTGTTTGATTGATTTGATTGATTGATTGATTGATTGATTGATTGATTGATCGATCGATCGATCGATCGATCGATCGATCGATCGATCGATTGATTGATTGGTTGGTAGGTTGGTTGGTTGGTTGGTTGGTTGGTTGATTGATTGATTGATTTGTTTGTTTGTTGTCCTTTTGTTTATTTAGGTGACAACAAGAAAAGTGAAAGTAGAGAAGGTGTTGGAGAAGAAAAAGAAGGAGGAGAAGAAGGAGGAGGAGGAGGAGGAAAAGAAAGAAGAGAAAGAGGAAAAGAAGGAAAAGGAAAAGGAAGAAAAGAAGCACGAATGACCGGTGCTGATTGCGATTTAGGAGTGAACCAGATGGAAATTGAATTGATCGTCAACTTTAACAAGTACTTTACTGGATTTCTGGTGGAAGTGCCAACGAACAGGATATCAGAATCGACGAGGGAGACGCTGATGGGAAATATCAGATCCAGCAACAAAAACAAACTCTTTTATGTACGTCCCTTCCGCGAACTGTCAGCAAGACGTTGTGGGGTCGACAAGTCGGTTCTACCTTTCTTGTTCCCTTTTATTAGTTTAAGTAACTGATCTCAAACTATTTCTTCGCTAACGTTTTCAATGATGATTCTTATTTGTACAAATTTTTATTTAATTTTTTTTTGTTGGTTCTCATTGTTCTGTTTTAATAAATATATAAATTAAATTTATAATAAAACCAAAATATTTCGTTAATCACATTAATGATAAATAACTTTATTCAAAAATCCTTTCAAAGATTTTATTTATAAAAATTGATAAAAAAACATCTAGATCATAACATGCCAGCCTATTTTTTTCACATGGTCAACACAAATTTTTCATATTCATCCACTTTTCAGTAATCACTTTAGAGGTCAAGACTACTCAAGACCATTGTAAGCTTTTTACTTTAATATACGACATTCAGAAAAAATATATTTTGACTTTTATAAATTTGTTATTACATTAAAGTATTGTAACTGATGTTGATATATCTGGGAAAAATCATCACTTACGTATTCTACAACTTTTACATTGATAAACCATTAATTTACAATAAAATATTATATCGATATATCGATTATTACAAATATTTTTTCGTCTTGGTCAATATGAATTGTAAAATTGGCTACACCTGACAGAATACAAAGAGTCTTCACGTCAAATGCTGGGCAACAGGCGTACTGTTCAGTACCATGGTGCGATGATGTCATGATAAATCTTTTCATACACAAGCTATTTGTAACGTTTTGTTGTTGCGATATTTTGCTAGAAATATACAATTTAAAGATGTGCTTAACTATTTCTGCGCACCAAGGAAATCCCAAATAACAAAACATCAACACTGGCAGAAAATAGTAAAAAGAATAAAATTTATAAAAAAATTGCAGTAAAATACATAAAAATGGTATATTATTTATAATTATTTAATATTGGAAACTAATTGTATTTAAAATTAGCAGTCCCTGTGCCTGCATGTATTGTGAGTAGAGACCAGAGCAGTCAACCGTCACGGCATGCCATCCGAATCCGACATTCTTCTACCACGTTTTGAAACATTATTATCATTTACAACAAACATTTTTTAATCATTTTTCATCATCTTTCATCGTTAATTATTTTACAATTTGCAGTCTTTTCGTAATAAAATAAATTTTCTTTTTGGTTTAAACACCAGTTGAATGTTAAATAGAATAAATCTTTCATTAAAAAAACCTTCACTTTTAATGCCACGTTGTGTTCATTTTCTGTACCTGGATACATATAGAATACATATGAATATATATTGCTAGGGTAATAATTAATTTTTAACGAAAATATATAAAATGTATAGTTTTAATAAAAATTATTATTGTTATAATTACTATTTTTCCTTTTATTATCATAAACAATAATAATAATAAATATGTAAGAATATTAGTATTAACAAGTAGCAAGCCTATAAAATCCCTAATTCGTGTCGTGGTTTTTGCATGAAACACGCGGAAATACATATAAGGTAAGGTTAATGTATAACACCATATGCTACATTTCAATATTTTTGTATAATAATTATTCAGTATGTGTGCTATATTAATCTGACGAGTTCTCTCCTCTCTCTCCTGTGTGTGTGTGTGTGTGTGTGTGTGTGTGTGTGTGTGTGTGTTTGAATGCGTGTACTTTTGTGTGTGTACCTACATGTGTTACGCTGGCTTGTCGCATTGAATGTCGCTAAGCAACTGCATTATCTCTACCTGAAGGAAACACTGGAGCTGTTAGTTTTAGAGATTTTCAATTTTTAAATATTCCTTTTTCTTTTGTAAAATTATGAAATACAATTTGGTAAAATAATTTGTTGATGACATTTTAAGATGTTCCATTGCAGTAGCTGCATAGAGACAACTTTGTTATACATTTTTGTATAAGATTACAAGTTGGTTAATCATATTAACAAAGGTTTTTACATTTGGTTTAATTTTAAAAAATTACCATACGATGAAAATAAATTTTAGCTATCATTAAAAATTTGTAAATTTTGCAAAATCTGTCACATAATTTTATTAACTTAATTATATCCTATAAAAAAAAAAAAATTCTTGAATAAATCGCGTTATTTTTTGTTCGTTCAATCGCAAGGAGTAACAGAAAAACAAAGTGGTCTACGAAAAGATGGCTGAAATAGTAACGAAAGCCAGGGATACGATGGATAAGCTGAGGAATCCAAGAAGCAGGTCAGTCAGAAATTTAACTATTTTATCCATCCATCCACCCATCCATCCATCCACTCATCCATCCGTTCGTCCGTCCATCCAATCATCCATTCATCCATCTATCCATTCATCCACCCATCCATCCATCCATCTATCTATCTCATTACTCGATCACCACTGATACACTTTTTTTTGTGTACAGATATCAAGTCGTAAACAAATTAGATACCGAGGAAATAAACCGTCTAAAAGCGAGGTATGCTTACATTAAAAGGAAGGAATTTCTATTTGAACTAATCAGTAGATTTGATAACAAGGTTCAACATTTAAAATTTTATAAAATTATTTCAAAAATTTTTCTTTATCAACATTTTATATAACTAAAATATATAAAAACAAGGAAAAGTTCATCATTCCTATATAAGTCAAAATTTTGTTGAAACCATTGAAATGAAAATTATGTATAATCTCCGCTATAAAAAAAACAAAACATAATTAATGTAGATTTTAAAATAAAGTAAGTAATAAAGTAAGAAATAACTCTCTGATGAATCTTTCTACAATTTGCACAGTTAGTAATAATAAGAACAGCAGTTGCTATCGAGGCGATTTGACGGTGGCAGTAGTGCTGTTTCATAAACTTCACGCGCATTACAACCCTAGTGAATTAGTGACCTTGACCTGACCTCACAGAAAACATCAGACCGAGAGGAGAGACGAAGTAATTGGAGCGCCAGTCCGTGTTCTGAACTGAACTTCCAAGCGAACGACGATGAGGGGCGGCGGGAGAAGGAGGAAGGCATGGAGGAGGAGGAGGACGATCAGCAGCAGGAATCCGTCGACATGGGAGATTATGAAAATCGTATCAAACCGTCACCGAACTATTGGTACATTCTCGATGGAAGAAATTTGGCGGAGAAAATAATCTACTACCGCACGTACAGACTGCAAGTCAGTTTTGCTTTTTTTAAATTATCGATGTGTTTTTCAGTGATGAAGAACATTTGAATACAAATTTTCAATTAAAAAAGTTTTAAGTTAAATTAAATGCTCGAACTTCCTGCCTTTCATTGCTCTGATAGGTTAGTAATTCTAAAATATATTTGTTTATAGTATTGATTTTTTTTTTTTTTAGCAAGAAATATATTAAATTATTAGTTGCAATTATCTCCAGAGCACCACAGAACTTGAATCGACCCTTATCAACTACAAAAGACCAACAACTCCAGCTAACCTCGCAGTACCAACTTTAGTCACTCAAGCGATATTGGAGCCAGCGCTGATAAAACCAGTTGTCTTACCTGTCACAAACAACAACAACGTTCAACAATCAGTGATTCAACCTGGAAGCAAATCAGCCAAGCCGAACAGACAACTGGCTGTTCAAGTTGGTCCGAGGCCCAAGACTGGACCATCTGCCGTCAGTAAGTGCAATGCTTTGCTCCCATATGATGATGGTTCTCGTTGGAAATTTCTTCATAAATATTTTTGTGTTTTTTGCACAACAGATGGCAAAGGGCCAAACAAAATAACTTTCAACAACAAAGCCTTCGATGAGTCAGAATTGAGAGCGGAATCAGTAAATAAAGTAGAAAATGAAAAAATTAAAGTCACAGAAGAGCAAACTGTAAAAGAGGCTTTTGTTAGAAACAAAAAAAAAAAAAAGAAAAAACAAAAATCTGAAAATCAGCAGATTCAGCAAAGTCAACAGAATGAAAATGTAATTGATGAGACGAAGGAAGAAGAAGAAACATTGCTCAATGAAACTGCGGCAGTTAAACAAACAAAGGAAGAAATTGTTGAAAAAACAAATATTCAGGAAGAGAAAGAAATTTGCGAAGAAAAAGAAATTCATGACAAAAAAGAAATTCATAGAGAAAAAGAAATACACGAAGAGAAAGAAGCGATATCAAGATCCAGCGACAGCAGCTTCAGTGACACTAAACGGCGAGCAAAATTAACTAGAGAAGGACTGGAGAAAGATGCAGTGATAGCAAAACTGGACAAGAGAATTGAAAAAGATTTGAAAGCATTGCAAGGCATACAAGATGACGGTGACGACAATGATGGAGGTCTGGATGATGATGCCTTTAACGACATACTACAAGGAAATATTAACAAGGAACTGGACGAATTTCTAAAAATACATTAACCTGCTCAATAATTTTCACAACGTATTATTGATTTGTGAAAGATATTTTTGATGCTCTTCTTAAAACAATTTTGTTTCTTCACTTAATTAAACTAAAAAATAAAAATTGCAAATGCTTTGCATTGGTAAAATTTTGTGATATGGTTATACCAAAAAACCAATTTTATGTAAAATAAGGTTCATTTATAAGGTTTACGGGGTGGATGTTTTTAAATACATAAACAAAACTTTGATTCTTTTACAATATAAATTTGCGCCGTAAATTCAACATTTTTGTTAACCCAAGCGCTTTGCTCTATTTAAAAAGTTGGCCCCACGTTTTAGCTTCTTTTTCGTAAAGCGTGAATTGTTTCATCAAAATGCATTTACCTTGCATGATTGTCAAGATCGAAAAGAAATCCAAGACATTTTTTCAGTTCATTAAATTTAACTGACCACAAAGTTCACTGCAAAAAACTTACTTTAGTTTGTTGCTTAATCTAATTGTTAGTATTTTTAAGAAACAAAGTGATGTTCGGCGATCAGCGCTCGTAGTAATGTTGTTCTACTGAGGGCGCGTGTCATGCTGTCGTACACGAGAAAGCCGAGGATAAATATCAATTGAACGCCTGCTCTTACATATTCTTGTAGTTTCGTTGCAACTTGATGAAATGAAAGTACTTCAGACAAGCAAGTGTCAGTTAAGGTTACCGCATTTTTTAATACCAATTTTCAGCTCTGTAATTTTTAACTGTGGAAATAAATTTGTTCAAATATTCATAGACACTAAATTTTTCAGTTTTCACGTCCAATTACAGGCATAGGCTATTTAATTTAATTCAGAAAAAAATATCTCAAACCGACGCGTGAGTCATCTTGAAGACGACACGCACACAAGTGCACATTCATCTCATATTCTTCTCATCTCACGAAGCCTTGCAAATATTTTACATTCACTACATTTCTTATTCACTACATTCAAAGGATAAAATAGATAATCAAAATTCAAAATTGTACATATACATAAATAAATAAATATATATATATATATATATATATATAGGTCTCATTTTAATATATACATATATTTATTTATATATTTATAATAATTTAGTAATATTTATGAATCACAATTTTTGAAATCCTCGGTTAAAGTTAAACATAAAATGAATTCACAATTGGCCGTTTGAAACTCAAGTTAAGAGACAATATGCATCTCACGTAGCGCAAGAATGCGAGGATGTATTACGTAAAGATGAACTTCTGAAATTTTTATGTAGCCCAATTTGTACGATATGGATCATTGAATAAAAATTCTTCTATTTACGCGATGAAATTTAGAAACGGCGTAAGAAAATTAAACAGTTGGAAGCATGAATTAATGAGTAACAAAACAATACTGTTATTAAATTGTTCAAATTATTGCCGAATTACAAACATGCAAAATTACATACACATACAAAATATATAGTATTAGCGCATTTATAAAGCGCTTTTTAAAAGTTTCTTCATAGTCTGACATAAATGTATATATTTATTTATATGTATGAGTGTGTGTGAGTGTGAGTGTGTGTCTGTGTTTGTAATGAATGGAAAAAAATTCAGACGTTTGTAATTTTGTATATTTATTTAAAACATGTGTTCAAATTCTGTAGTATTTTCTTGGCTCTATGTTTTATCATTTTTATGTGTTTGATTTTGTTTTTATGTACATATATGTGTCTATATGTTCTTGTAAGTTTGTATATGTTTGTATGTCTTTGTATATAGTGATACAAATATATGACATATAATTGTGTGTTTTTCAATGTTTGTATAATCATACACGCTTGTATATGATGGTTGTACGCTTTTTAGTATCATATATGTTTGGTTATGGACATACACATGTGTATACCCACAGACGTTTTTATGCTCATTGCTCATCATATATGCTTGCGATTATATATTTTTTGCATGTTCTTCATATGGTTTCACGTTCCTCATATTTTTATATATTTACTAATGTATAAACGTTCACATGGGCATACATGTTCATATATATATATATATATATATATATATATATATATATATATATATATATATATACATGTTTGTATGAATTATATGGATGTTTTCAAAAGGAGCTTGCATCGTTTCATAAGCAGCAGCCTTTGTGGAGTATGTTCACATTCCATCTTAGGAAGATGCTAGGCATTACATAGGATTATTAATATGAAATTGCTCTTTCTGTTGTACGATTTTCCTTTTGAAGAGCCTTTTTCCAGTCTATAGTGTTTTCGTTTTTAATTTGTAAAGTTCTGACATCAATGAATCAGTGTTGTGTTGTACCTAATTGTATGAAATTGTATGGAGTTGTGTTGTATGGTATGGTATGGTATGGATGCTGAATAGGTATATTAATAAGTAGAAAAGGAACCAATCATTTTGTTGGAATATTTTCTATTATTATTCTGTAACATATTTAAACATTCTTCCGTCTTGAACATTGCTTTTCTATTGCAAAATTGCTGCTTGTTTTATAATCTTCAACCTCTAGTCAAACAACCATGGTTAGTATTATTTTATTATTTATTCTTAACGTTTAAGTTTCATACAATTTTTGAATTTGGATAATATTTTTATATATTAGAAGTTAAATTATTTGATGGTTAGCGCCCTAAAAAATTTAATCTATGCTGCTAATATTGGAGAGAAAAAACGCGTCCGACCTCCATTACATTGCAGATAAAGTTTTTCTATGATTTATCTTAGTTAAATAAGTCGTATAATCGATTATTTTATATTTCGATCTAAGAAAACTTTCTAAAATGGTTATCTTAGTTTTGCTTTCATTTGATTTGTTTGCTTTAATAATCTGCTACCATATTTTTCGTTTTCATAGAACTTTTTTGTCTGAAAAATATTGGGTGGGTAGTCAAGCCTTTTAAAATTTAAATTTTTAATAAAAAATAAACTAGCTTTTAATTGAATTGCTCAAATTTATTAATTTAACTTCAGCCTTTATTTATGAGTAAATTTATAATGAAAAAAACTGATTAACTGAATTCTTTTGTAGTATCATAGTTTTCATTAGATTGAGTTAGTTTGAATTTGAACAGAGGATAAGAATACTAAAATAAAATTATCAACAAATTAGTTGCAAACAAAATTAATAGAAAATAATGATCTTCAAAAAGGAAAATTGCTTTTTGTGTAGTAGCAGATCAGATTTTCTTTATATAGCTAAATCAAAAATTATCCAACATTTCACTTATTAAGAATTAAGTTATTTATGAGATAGAATTTTTTTTTGACAAAGTCAATTAAATAATACATTTCTTTTTTTGTATTATTTGTATTATAACTAAAGGATTAAAAGGAAACTTTAAAATCGGCAGGCCATATATGAAATGTTTTTAAAATATTTCACCTAACAAATATAGATAAGTAATATATGTGTTTCTGTTGAAAGTTGTCTTATGATTGTTAAATATTGATTTTTGCCTATTTATTGTTTCCATTTTTATAGAAAACTGTTTCCGGTAAAGATTTTTTAACAAGTTTTTGAAAATTTAGTTAATTTTATTAAATTTTAATGACTTTGTTTTTCATTAGTCTTCAGGAGTTTCTGTCAATCAGGATTGTGTTACAGTCTTTAATGAAATTAAACTAGGACACAAATTTCGCTATGTTATATATTCGCTGAATGATGACCTAACTCAAGTAAGAGTACTAAAGAAAGCACCCCCAGGCAAGTGATTTTGTTTTTGTCCAGTTCATGCGCAAATGTATTAAATGATTCTTCTATTTTCCAGAGTGCACCTATGATGATTTTGTGGATGATTTGAAAGAAGCTGAGTCATCAAGACAGTGTAGATATGGAGTATTTGATGCACAATATCAATTGAATGATGGCCAACAAAGAAACAAATTGGTCTTTTTCTTATGGTAATTTTAACAATGCAAATAATATGCCGATATCTTATTGAACACAAACTTTGTTAAGTAAATTTTTAATTTATTGAAGTTTTAAGCTAACATAATGATTTGAAAAGTTTGTGGTAATAGTTTAGCTTCAGTATATCTGCCTATTATGGATGTATAATAATTATATAATGTATTTTGTGTTATTGTTTAACAAATTTATTTGTTATGTCTATTATAAATGCTTATATTTTATTTAAGGAGTCCAGAAAACGCTACAATAAAACAAAAGATGGTCTACACAAGTAGCAAAGTAGCCTTAAGAAAGGGTCTAGTTGGAGTAGGCAAGGAAATCCAAGCTTGTGATTACGGTGATTTGGCTTGGTCAAATGTCATGGAAACTCTACTAAGAACGGAAGTGGCTCAATGAGATTTTTATGTACTTACTTCATTTTTCTTAAGTTATTAAAATTTTCATTGACTTTACTTGATATTTAAAATTATTGTTAAGTATTATTAATTCGTTTATTACTTTGTATTCATTATACTTTAAGACATCTCTTGTTTATATATATATGTAGGAATTCTAAGGATGTACTTTTTTTAGTTTGTTATTGTAGACCAACGATAATCTATTTAAATCTCATTCATGGATCATTGAAAAAAGTTCGTTTTAAAATATGCGTTTTTTTAATAGACGGGTTTTAAATTTCCAAGCAACTGCAAGCACATGTTCCCTTCGTGGTAAATGCAGGCTTCTCCAGAGAAGAGTTCATTATTGTGTCACATGGATAAGTACATTTGTCAGTCCTTGTGTCCTGGCGACGCGTGCAGATGCATTGGTCAATGGTTCCTATGAATTAAATGAATAACTGGCGATTTTTCAAATATCGAAAAGATGTATCAGGCTGATATAACCTGGGCAATAATGCCTTCCTTGAACTCTATCCTGAGATGCCTGGGATTTTACAGATTGTAATTCCTCACCATTGGAACATGGATCTAAATGCAAATTGATTTTCAAAAGACGTAATGTAATAGACCCTTGAAAACGCTTTAGATAATTATTTTTAGTTTAAACTACGTTAGAGTACCACTGTTAAATGAACAAGCGGCGAATTTTCCGAATACATAAATAGTTTGCCTGATATTTAATTGAGTAATTTTTTGTCAATGTTTCTTAAGCAAATTTTAAGTTTTAGTTTGCAGCATATCGGAAGTGCTCATAATCAATTTAAGAATATAAATATCTTAAAAATTCTAACCTTTTTTGAGATAGCTGGAGTCCCAATTGAATGGCGAATTATCATGCGTCTCGCTTTTCCTTTTCTGATTCATTCTTACGCGTTTATTTATTTTGTAGCGTTCTTGGGCATCGCAAACGTTAGGTTTTTGGAAACAACTTGCGTATTCACTTTCAAAACGATTCATCATAATTGTTAAAACTTACATAATTGTTAAAACTTACAAATTTGATTCCGACGACATTTATGCTAATGTTATTTTTCTCTGTCATCATATTTTATTCCAATGAATTTTAAATTTAAATCGGTAGATGAATATATTTTAACCACATAGAGTAGAAAATGATATAAAATTCAAAACAAATGAAGAAGCATGTATTGATGAGTTTTTAATAAACCATTCAATTTTATCGTTTTTATTTCTTTTTTCCTTCCCAGCCTATATAACGATGATGCCCAAATTAACTTCACATGGATTGCCATGTTGTTCATATGAGATCGAATTAGAACTAAATACAATGTCGACAACAACATTTTGTCAACAGTACCCTACCTAATACCACAACCTGTAAGGAACACACACACAGCCGCAGCTGTTAAGTTTTATGTTTTATATTAAAACATTATGATTTATAATATACATTTATTTTTCTTTGGACCAAATGTTCTTTGCTTTGTAACTTCACTTTTTCCCATTTCTGTTGATACGGTGGATAATAAACAAGTCGGGAACGTTGCTTGGTTTATTTCTCTTCTTTTAATGTCTTTCAATAGTATATCAATTAATTAAACGATCTACGTAACAAGAAATTTAACAGCAGCAGCAACCGCAATAAGATTGCAACTATTTGAAACAGTCTCAGGAAAGACGACGAAGACAAGGGAATAAAACAATGAATCAGAAGAATCAACTGTTATTTTTCTGAAATATCAAAACAAATACTATTTGAAGAGGAATCGTAATAAATATGAATAAATAGATATATTTATACATTTATATACATTACATATATTTATAACCGTTTGATAATTTTGATGATTAGATCTGCTAGCATCTAGTGCAGAGGGTCTACAGAAACTGATCGAGTTGACGTACAATGGTGGAAAAAACCATGGACTACATACACACCAACAGCAGTAAGACAAAGATAATGATTTCGGAAGCAGGTGGAAACAATGATGAATTCCAGATAGGAGCAGAAAAGCTCGAACAAGTGAACCAATTTATATATCTGGGCAGCCTCATAACTGATGACAATAATTGTTCGAAAGAAATTGATAGAAAAATAGCAATCGCGAGAGGAATTTTTGCATCTTTGAAAGTAATATTGAAAAACGGTAATGTATCTACAAAAACAAAGTTAAAGATCGTAGAAGCGTGTGTGTTTTCTAAATTGATGTATGAATGTGAGGCTTGGACGTTGAAGAAAAGAGACAAAGACAAACTGGAAGCATTGAGATGCATTGTTATAGAAAGTTGCTTGGAATCAGTTGGAGACAAAAGATAAGAAACGATGCCATAAGAAAACAACTTGGAAGACAAAAAACTGTGTATGAAAGTGTCAAGGAAAGAAAGCTGGGTATCTTTGGGCACATCTGCAGAATGACAGACGACAGACTGATCAAAAAAGTACTGATGAGAAAGAGGGACTGGAAGAAAAAAGTTGGAAGACCTGTGAGGAACTGGATGGATGATATCACGGAATGGACGGGGGTTGGAACATTGGGCTCAATGAAGATGGCGAGGGAAAGAAAAGGATTTTGGAGAGATAGAAGAATACCATCGGCCTCAACGGTCCCTTAAGGGATTACAGAGGATCATTGAATGAATGAATTGAATGAATTGTGATGATATATATCGTATCGCAGAACTCGTAACAGCGTCTTTTATGAATTAACTTCTGACTCGCTCTCTTCACTTTTTTCGCTGTGGGAGGCTGGACAAATGATCCAGCATCCAGTCTGGAGTCGGTGTTCTAAACGGATTAAACATCATCTTGCAGCAATAGGTTGGTCTCATACATCATAACATTGCAGAAGTCATTCCAATTGCAAACGAAACTGCAGACAAGAGCTTTTGCTGACTCATCTGTCAGATATTGGCTTATAGCCCTTAGTCTGTGTAGTTCAAAAAACATCGTTTATAAAATAGATTGACATCGAAAAGTTTGAATCCAACACAACACCGAAATTCGTTACCGGGTTTTTTAAATCATCTGCCTGACAGAGTTTATGGAATGTTGCCAACCACATGTACTGAGTTTTTTTAAATTAGTTTTCTCAAGTTTATTTGCTGTCATTTGCGTATTTGCGACAACTGTGGACAGATTAAGAGAAAAGTTTTTTGGTCCAGATGCATACAGCTGGATATCACGGCATATAAATGGCAGCTTATACCTGAGATTTTTACCAAATTGATGAAGTCCTCATTGTATAATAACTATACCAGAGGACCAAGGACCAATTCCTGCGGAACATGACAAATTAAATCCGAAGTGGCAGTATCCGAGCTATTTATACGAACATTGACTATTTGAATTCTTTCTGGCAGATAAGATTAAAAATAATTTGGTGCGTCACAAAATATCATATCAGACCGACAATTGTTAAAAAAAAGCTTAAAGCGAGATATAGTGGTCTATCGAATCAACGCGACGCTAACATCAAGTGCATGCATTGCCACGTTTCCCATATTAGCAGCATAAAAAATATGAGACTTTTAGAATTGCTGTTTCAGTTTATATATATATATATATATATATATATATATATATAATGTGTATAATGAGTAACATGGTGTCAGTAGCCATAAACTTGTGCATTCTATTTGATCCGTTTCATAACTCAATATTAGCTTTCATCAATCATCCGTGTATGTATGACGCACTTTTGTAAAGTTTGTAAAGAGAAAAAACGATAGGGTAATACCACTGTAAAGTACCATGGTGTGAGCTTTAAAAAAGGAACCTGTGGGCATGGATGTATATATATATATATATCCATGCCTGTGTGTTTACGTTATATGTGAAGCGCTTAAAAAATTATCTGATCCAAAGATGTTAATTACATAACATTGCACTAGAGCGATAATAAAGAAAAACAAAATTTTCAAAAGCAATGTCGAGATGAACTATTTATCGGTTAGTGTTGATCGTGAAGTATTCAAGATTGATTTATTCCATCAAGCTACATCACGTTACATCGTAGTCAACACTCTTGAAGGTTTGTCGGTTCATCATATCATAAGAAATGCCTCGTCACAATAAGTTACAATTGGAAATTTTGTCTTTGTACAGACAATTTTTAAGAGTGGTCTCTGATAGGCCTGGAACTTCGGAATATGTAAAATCCGAATTTAGAAAAAACTCCTACATACCGAAAAAGAATATTCTGCAAATAGAACAAATTGTTCGCAGGGCTCAGCGGCAGTTGGAGTCATTAAAAAAGCCTACCACAAAAGGAATAGGCGTGTTCCAAAGGGATGATCATGATGAACAAAAATGAGACTCATTGCAAAATTTTCAACAACTAAAATTTCATTTTTTGACACAAAAAAAATAAAAAACTCGAAATCGCAAATGGAATTTTGTTTATTAAATATAATTTTTTTGTAATGTAAAAAACTGTCCAACAAAAAACTGTCTTCAATTATGTGTAAAAATAATTTTATGCTTAACTTTGATCATTAACAGAAGTAAATCTAAGTGTAAAGCATAATCAATGAAAACTAAAAATGTCAATGTAGTTTTTTGTCCATGATCATTTTCTGTAGACTTGAAAAGCCATGTTTAATGTTTTCCACACTGTTAAAGTGTATAGTTAACGTTATTCATATGGTGTACAAAGAAAAATTAATTATTAAAACAGCAAATAAATAGATGATTTGTTATTCAGATACCCATTGAAGCTCATGGAAAGCCCAAGAAACAACACTACCCAACAGAACAATTTCTGCAATGTGGCTGGTTGCTGCACCATATATTCTATTTTTAGGCTCTTGAAAATTTTAAGTTATTTCAACATTAGTGACCAATGCAAAATAGAACCTGTCTCAGGTAATGGTCTGAAGCATACCTCCTGTGTAGTAACCCTTGGCATAGATTATGCGGCAAACAATGTAGAAGGCACCAGTTCCTGCCACAATTTTCTATAAATGTAAATAATAAAATAAGGTATATAAAAAATGTAATTAATAAAAGCAATTTGAAATAATAACAGGTAATTAATTTAACCAACAGTTATTAAAATGTAGATACCAAAACAAAATTTAAAACTAAAAAGACGTAAACAAGGTAAATAAATTTACCGGATATTGAAGCCCTCCAACCAACAAGAGAAACAAGTATGTTGGGTAGTTCTCAAGGCTTAAACAAATATTTGACAATTCATAGTCATAGACATATTATTATGCAAACAAAATTTGTTGCAAAGATTCTTTTGCACTAACACACATATTAACATTTGACTTGAAATTAACAACCAAGTGAAGCAACTAAACAATGGTGAAGCACGGCACTAGCTAAGCTAACAATGAAGAGTAATAGGCTTACGTGTTTTGGTGTGCTCTCTGAATGCAATTGAAGTCTTGATTGTCAGCACTATACATTGTGGGGTACTGTTTTGAAAAAACAGATAGCAAATAAAATAAATACATTATCAAACTTAAAGTTCCCAAAAGTAACTTATAGAAAATAAACCTCAATTTTATATTTCTTCCTTGCATTGACAACCTTCATGGCCAGCCAAGTGTTAAGAAAAACATGACCAATGCCAGCCAGGACAACATATCCATAACCATCAGGAACAGTGATGCATTTTGAGAGGACTGGCATTTTCTATGTTCTCAACTTCTAAATCCCAAAAATTCTATGAAAAAATATTATAATTTATTATAAGAATAAACTCAACAGGACATGACATGTATTTAAATGTAATTTGTATTTTTGTAACAGTAATACCATCATTATTAATAATTAATTAATTTAATTGTTAATACTATTATTTTTATATGATGGTTATTGAAAGATTGAGTATGATGTGAAGTGAATGAGTGAAAGTGATGCACATGTTTGTTTTGTTGTTTACCAATTTTTCTTGACATGCCAATTCACTGTCAATAAATAAATGAAATGAACAACACACCATAAATAAGCCAATGGTCACATTTTTAAAATAAATTATATTATAAAATGAATTAAGATAGAAAACGTAATACAATGCAGACACACAAAAATCAACTCAAAGAAAGTTGAGATTTCATTTTGAATATGTATTAAAAAGCATTAAAAATAAAAACGTCCAAATAAGTTATTTATAAAAACCCTGAAATCGAATTTTAATCGATGAAATAAAAAAGAGTTGGAGTCAGAACCTGCGCTGAATTGAATACGAGACGACCTTGCAGCCAGTCTAGGCGAATGTTGAACGGATGAATGATCAGTTTGTCACTGAACCAAAAATACAAGATACAAGACACTTGATACTTTTGCAATTTTTTTTGAACTAATTTAAGTTTATAGTAATTATTTTTTACAAACTTGTCATTAATGATTAAATTTTTTATTATATGTGTGTAATTGTCAAGATTATGCTACTAATACTTTTACTGAGAACACAAACCTCATATGGGATATAACCTAGTGTTCACACATCTGATAATTAAATTCAAATTTTGATATTTGCAAATTTTGTTTGAGCTTATAACTTTTAAACATTTCACGGATGAATGAATCGTCTCGCTTATTTGTTGATTGTTCAGTCCTGCTCTCCTGACTCCTGGATGTGGAGTGTACCAGTCACTTAGCAACAGGACAATATTGACTTAAGCTTGGAAACCATAGTGTGACATGAAATGTATGAGAGAACGCAACTGTGTTAAATGCAAAGCTATTTCGCTTGTTTAACATAACTGCTGAAAACTCTTAATTAAACCGTTTTATGAAAAGTTGATATAAAGTTCAAATTTTATTCCTTTTCCCATTTTTGTAGATGAATTTATAATAACAACCCATCATATTTATTTGTCGATTAAACAGCTCTATACTTATAAATAGTTTACAACACGCTTTTATAAAACATTTGTGATTTAAAAAGTTTTCATAAATTTGTCTTGTTTTATGAGCAAATTTTATTATTTATTATTATCGTTATACTAATTTGAGCCTAATAAAAACAGAATAATGTCGAACACGTCATCTAATTGTGAGTTTATCATTCATCATGCATTGTTGCTGGTGTAATTAACAAGATATTTGTTGCAATACGGCTTGTTGTTAATGACTATGAACATTTTTATATAAACTTTTGGTTATAACAAGTTGAAATAAATCATTGTAAAATCATAATTATAATACCTTCTTTCAGATAACGCCACCACCACAAGCGCCATGCTACTAGGTTAAAAATAGTTAAAATTAAAATTGTCAACTAATCTAAAACATTTCATTTGAGTTTGACTATCTTAAAAAATACATGACTTCCAAATGATTGATAAGTTTTAATTAAATTGTTCGAAATTGACTTTATTCGCATTAATCAAATAATCATCATTCGTTTTTTAAAGAGGTTAACGTTAAACTCAACAATAAATTCACATATTCTGTTATTCAGTTCAAAACACTCTGAAACCAAATTTTGATGGCTGTGGGTGCCACGTGGTACCTGGTTGGGCCATTGCACTTCTTGTGATCATTTGCATACTCATAGTGCTTGCCATTGTCATCATTGTCATGATCGTCATGACTTGGATGAAGATGAAGCACAGACCATCTGTATCCAACCAAAGTTTGTTTTCAAAATTTTTGAGCAATGTTTTTATTAAATTAAGATATAACTTAATATTAATTAATAGCTCCAAATGGAATGGAATTTGGAGGAAAAAGTTACGATGATAAAAGGTAATTTTGACATTCTTTTCCTAAACAAACAATTCCTCATAGCTAATTTTGCGTTTAAACAGATCTCAAATATCTCCATCATCAAGAGCATTGCCCCAGAGATCGAGCATAAGATTCAATGACAACCCCACCACATTTCCAGATGCTTCCAGGAAGATGAACTCCTTGCCACCTCTTGATTCAACAAGGAAACATTCTTCCAGAAGAATCGAGGATGAAATAAATGGCTCCTATTAAACTTTCTGTCTCGTGGAGCCAACGTGTTTTAAAAAAGATTACTAAAAAACTTGATTTGGTTATTTGATAGAAACATTTCATTTTTAATATTAACACTTGTCTAACGTTACACATTTTCTTAACAATTCCATTTATGTAATATATTGATCAAATTTTTATCGTTAGCCTATATTTTTCTTGATACTACGGTTTATAAATTTTTGCACTGAATTATTATGTTCCAAACTTTTATTCTTAGCTTGTATTTTTTGTTGTATGAACAAAAGAAATATAAAGCTTAATATTATGACGTAAACAATTTACGTTCGAACAAATAGTAAATGAAAACAAACTTTTATTAAAAACTGTTAATTTGACAACTTGAAAAGGTGTATGTCATAAACCATTTCTCCGCGGCTTTTCAAATTTTATTCGAATAAATGTGGCAGGGCAGCTAAGTTGCACTGAATCCGATTTTGTTTTTTTTCAGTGAAAAGTAAATTAGCACTTTTGAAACATTGCGTTGGTGAACTTTCACCTTATTATATATACTATATTTTATTTTTTCAGTAATCTATATATTATATAGATTACTGAAAAAATAGGTTCCTGGTGATAGAAGCATGAAATCGCCTGGAGGAAAAGCAGATGTGTATAACGCAACCTCTTTGAGACACATATCCTTTGTTAACTTTTCAAGTAGAGGTTTCCAAGAAAATCAGAGCGAACTGTCTACAGATATGAACAATATTAAGAAAGTAAGTAAGTACAACATACGTCTTGCGTGAATTTTGTCAGCTAGCAGATTAAATTGCATAGATAAACTTTTCAACAGGAAAGTGATTGTACAACAAGAGGAACTGATGGCTCTTTCATCGAAAATATAGAGTCGGACAAGCAGTACTTTAAGGTTAATGCAATTTTGTTGAAAACACAAAATACAGTTATGCAAATCAACATTAGCTAAGCAAACAACGAGACTTTTTAATGTCATGACGTTTTTGATTAAATATTAGTGAAATCTCAGTAAAATATTTTTAAATGCAATGACTTCGCGATTACGTGCTTTTTATTGAAACATTCAAAAATACTTTAAGCTTAAATATTGGTTGGCAATGCAATAAGGTTTAAATATCAAACACTCATAATAATACAATCTATAGCGTTTAGCCCACCTGATTACATAACGCTGTACACAAACCACAAATAATTACCATTTTTGGATAATTTTTTCTTCGTGCAAATCTATTTGTTTAAAAGCACCTGTAATTGAACAAATATCAGAAATGTCAGTGTTATTAAAATAACGATAAACCACGTGATAAATATAATGTTACTCTGTGAAGTCCAAAAATGCTGGAGAACCTATTTGTAGCTAAAATATTAGGAAAGTGTTTTAACGAATTCCAAACGAAATTTCAAAAATTGAAATGTTCATCTCAAAACCATAGAACTACATCAAAGTTAGGACACAAATGATTTCATTTAAAATTCAAAAATAATCAAAATATACTATCGATGCCATAAGCTAAGGATTTATGAAAATAACCATTGTACATTACAAAAGGTTTACTCGGACGAAAATGAACAAGCCGAGAAAGTGGCGTACTTGGAAAGAACTTTCAAGTTTCTGCAGCAACAGCACCAAGAGATTTTAAAATCATTGCATGAAGAAGTTGAAACGTTGAAGAAAAAAAATAAAGGTGAGTTGCTTGTAATCAGTTTTCAATAATAACAATTTTTTATCAGCATTTATTTATCGTTTACATAAATTTGGCGACATAATTCTTATCAGTAAACTAAAACATATTTTGATTAGAGCTAAATTACAAGTTGTCGTTATTAATTGGGAAAAAACAAGAGAGCTTTATGCATGAGTATCCGGTTTGTGATTCAGGTATGGTTCGTTTCATTATTATTAAAAAATCGTTAAATATAATGAATAACTATCATTATGTACAATACTGGACTATCAACGTGTGATTATCATTGCGTGGCTATCCGTGTCAGTAAGCAGATACTCGCTCCGTTCTGATGATACATCAATAAAAATTTCAAAATCAGTGAAATCATTCAGCGTCAACGATCACAAAGGTATGTCAAAATTAAAAAGTAAAATATTAATCCTGTCATTGGCAGACAATTTACCGAAAATATCTTAGTAAATATTCAATAAAAAAAATAGTTTTACAGTCATTTAATCCATTGCTTTACTTTTACTGAATGTAAAATAATTAAATGCCCAACTTTAAAACTGGGTGAAAAAATTATTTGGGTAAAAAATTATTTCAGTTTTGCAGAGTGAGGTTAACAAAATGCAGCTTCATAACGAAATTAATGACCTCAAAGAAACGTTGAAAACTTTTAGACTCGAAAATGACAAATTGACTAGCACTTTGGAAAGATACAAAAACCGAACTGAGTAATTGATAATATTATTCATTTGGTATATAGATGAACTAATGTTCGAACACTTGCAAACAGTTGCTCAGACGACCCGAAGGAGAGCAAGCCAGAGTTGAGTGACACGAGAGATGAGTGCCGGTATATCGTAGAGCATTTGAACGAAGTCAACCAACAAAACTTGAAGGAGGTTGCGAATGACAATTCTTTTAGTCTTGAAACTTTTAAATAATTCAAACACTATAAATTTTTACTATAAAAATTCAAAAACCTTCATAGATCAGAGAAATAAAGGCTCATTTGGAAGACGTAGTAAACTCAGAAAAAGTTTCACTGAATGCATTCATGTTGGCTAAAGGTTGTAATCTTAGCAATGAACCAACGACAGTTGTTAGCAACAAGCCTCTATTATCACTCCACCACAATGATCATCGTAAAAGGTTTGTTAAGGCAGAATAGTTGAGTCAGACTGCTGAATAGTCAGAGTAATAGTTTTATTAAGATGGTTGTAAATCTTCGGTGAATAAAATAAATAGACATGCGCGTTTCCGATTTCGATATGGAATTGGGAATTACAATACTGATATAAATCGGTGCCGAGATTAAAAAGGAAAATCCGATGTCTTTCTCTCTCTCTCTCTCCATATATATATATATATATATATATATATATATATATATATATATATATATATATATATATATACATATGTATATAATGAACCGTACCTGTTAGTGAACTTAACATCACAAAATTATTGGTCATCATTGAGAAAATAATCAAGATATTGAGAAACATCATGAAATAATTGGAATATTGAGAAATTGTCGTATCAAAAATCAATATTGTTATTGAAAATTTTAATTCCTGATGTCAGGATCAGAAAATTGATTTATTTTGGCACATCAATTCGGCAACGCCTATGTAAAAATTAAACAATGAATATTTCAAAAGTTTTAACGTAAAACTATGAACCAACCACCCAAGCAGTAGACAATCAACCCAGAATCAAGAGGTTGTCATGCTTCTTCCACCGCTAAAACAGACGGCAAAATCTCGAATGAGAGACAAGGTGCTTACATTCAGACCGAAACCTCATTTCCGACCGTGACTTATTTTGATGTTAACTAATTGTTAGGTGTTAATTTTTAATATTCATTAAAACGAAGCAATCTCAATAAATGAATATATAAAAATAGCAAATGTTTCAAGAATTTTATATAAAAATTAAGGTTTGAAACCTTTATTAGCTTACCATGCTTTTCTGGAGCAACGAAAAAATCTTACTAATTTAAAATATTTTCTCATTAAAAACTTTAAGAACCGCCAATGATTATAGTTATTGTTTGACCATGTTCTTCTAACATTCTGAGTTTGGAAAATCGGTGATTTAATTTAATTAGTGGCAGCATCAACTCGCTTTAACAATTTTTAAACAAATTTCACTTCCAAAAAATCAAGTGTTAAACTTTTATTCCATATTTTATTTTTTCAGTAATGATTGCTTGAATTTATAGTTAGCAAAAATTTTTATTCCATATGTGACCCTTTCACAAAATGAACGATATAAAAATTGATAACGCGGTAGTACAAAAATTAAAGCATTTCGCAAATTTCTATATTCGTTAGTTTAAACGAAATATGCCGATCCGATTCAACAGATCATAAAGCTGACATGATTTTGTGATTTAAGTCGGCAAATCAGATATATCAACGATAATTTTAAAGAATATTGTGTCGTCTTTCAAAAAGTCGCTATCCTCTCTTAAAAGTTCTTGATGGCTGATAAATCTAGGGCATCCTGTCGCGAGATTCATCAACGAGGTCGGTTTTTGGAAACTGGAACTTGAAGGATCGGGTTTGAAGCCATCCTTGATTTCCCTTTGTTTGTTGGGGTTATGGCCCAACAGTTTTAATGTTACCTGTTAATATTTATTTCTTTCTTAATGAAAACATTCGCATATAATTAGAATAGAATAAAATTGTATTTCTTGTCAGAACATCCTAGCGCAAAAAATATAAAAATACCGGTTTAACTATGAATGAAAACACTAACTTTTTGCTTAAATGGCCATGTTAAAACGTCGTCGTACTCGCCTTTCATGATGACAAAAAAGAATGACACATAGTGGTTAGCCCCTAGTCCATCTCCATTCAGATACAGTCTGGCACACATTCTGTATCCGTATCTGAAAAAAGTATTCATATTTTTAGCCTGAAAAACATTCATTTATTTCCCATCAGATTTTGTTTTGATGTAAATTTTATCCTTAAAATAGCAAAAAGTTATAACCTGCTGGTAAAAAATGGCTGACTGTAAACGGAAGCCCTGTTTCCTTGTTTGGCTTCGGCAAGTCTCCTTCTAAATTCAGTAATTTTCCAGACGAGTACTCCAGAATAATTTGTGGTCTCGAGACACTGTAGTTTCAACTCAAAGTCTACAAATGACTTCTTCTGACTTTCCAGACTGGCCGCTTGTTCATCTGTCTGAACTTTTATTTCGCCTGAAAATGAGCGTGTGAACAGCAAAAAGTAAAATGACGATTTCATAATTCATGGTTCGATTAACGCCAGAAATTGTCAGATTTTCTGTTTACATCTTAATTGGAAAAGGTGTAATACTCCAATGTTTAAATCAATTATCTTGTTTTTAATTCGTAAAAAAAATCACCAAGGAAGCAGAGATTGGTACAACTAGAAAAATAAAAAACTAAAATGATAAAAAAGGAAAATAATACAAAACAGATCATTATTGTATCATCGGCGTATTTGATGATTGGGTCAGAATTAGATCGGATAGAGTGTTGAGACATTCAGGAAAGAAGTTTGCACCACACTAGAATTTATTGAAAGAGAGAGAGAGAGAGGAAAAAAAGAGAAAGGGAGAAAGAGAGATGAGAATTGGAGTAGAAGTAAAATGAGATTGGTAGGATTTGAAGCAATGTTTGCAGTGGTTGAGAGTGTCGAAAGTTAAGTCAAAATTAAGAAATGGAAGACGAAGAAAGTTGTTATTTTTAAAAAGTAAGGAGATTGTTGATTGTGGAAATAGATGATCTGTGTTTGTTGTACTTGGTGAAAATGTAGCAAATACATTATCAACATTTAAATATAGTCCGGTAAATGTTGTTTCAACAGAAAATGGTTTTAAATAGTAAACATAAAAATCGAGTAATGAATAAAAATGACACTTACGTAGCCACTTTTTTTCTTCACTATCAAAATTAAGTGCATCTTTGGCCTTTTCAACTTGGCTTTTTAATTCAGACAACTTGGTATGGAAATCTCTCATTTTTGATTCTTGAAGTGTAACATCATTCACCAACTTAGAAAATTAAATCTGTGTTTATGCCAACTGAACCACATCATTTGGTAAAATTTAAAAATTAAATACTTTCTCCAGCATATCAGATTTTCTTATAACTTCACTGTGCTTTTCATTCAAAACCATTATCATGTCGTTCTGCTCTACGATTTTTAATGAAGCTTCCTGCAATTTGATGTTAATTGAGAGGGTTATTATTATTTATACAATAATGTATGTGTATTTAAAAGACATTAATATTTAAATTTAAAATTCATAGATAAATATATTTAAAAAATTAAATTAAAATATTTAAAAAATGAATATACCAACCTTGACGGCGTTTCTCAGCGAATCATATTTTTGAAACAACTTATGCACTGACGTTGCAGTTAATTCTAAATGTTTGCCAACAGAATTGCTGATGTGTGTATTCATTACATTTTCTAAACCCTTACAACATTAAATATACTACCAAAGTCATTTCACTGTTTAATTAAACATGTTTAAAACTTTAAAAAACATTATTATTCAATTGTATTTAAAATAAATTATTGATCAAAAGTTGAAAGCAACTTTATTAATGCGTGATCGAGCGCCAAACTCGAAGATTGTCAAATGCGTTTACAATGCGGTGCTCGAAAGCGTTTACAATGTTTTTGTGGAGCATGAACGTTGAGGCTGGTGAGTGATGACGTAAACCTTTCTTACTGATTTTCAAAATCCTTTCCACATTTGGCCATCTGAATTGCATTAAACGATGCCAGCGCAGTTCATTCCGTAATGTTATCCATCCATTCTCAGCCAATGGCGGATCCAGAGGGGGGGAGCGGTGGGGGCGATCGCCCCCCCCACTTTGAACTGAGGTTTGATATTTTATGAAATAAATAACAAAAAGCCAAACACTTCAACTTCTTGATTTTTTTTAAATTGAAAAACATTCTTCAAAACATTGTTCTGTTATATACAAGAAATATTTACAAGACAAATGTCATTTTTCTACATTTTTTTCGGCCAAACCTTGTTATAATGTCTTCAATATCTAATTCAATATCGCGATGAATGTTCATTAAGGCTAATCCCGTTAGTCTTTCCTCATTCATTTTGGAGCGCATCCACGTTTTTAACCGCCTCAGGGTAGAAAATGAACGTTCTGCCGTTGCTACTGAAACAGGCATGGTGCACAATATTGACAACAGGCTGTGAATTGTCG